ATCCGCATTCCAAAATACTCGACGACTCAAATCTGAAATAACCGGAAAATAATATTTCAACCAACATTTAGATACTCGCGTAGTAAGTGATGCCTCTACATTTGGGTTAGAGACTGCGTTAGAGCAAAACAGAGACACAGGTTGGGTAGTAAAAGCTTATGATTCGACGTTTCTAAATTCGTTACGGGAAAAATACTTGGTAAACGAATAAGAATTAATAGAGGTTGTGTGGGCAATCGAACACTTCAAATACTATGCGGGAATAACTTCACAGTAGATACAGATCACCAAGCTTTGATCAGTGCGTTGATTGGAAACGACAGAACATATCAATTTTAGTCTGATAAGGGGGAAACGACATCACATGGGACTCGATCAGAGACTAGTCAAAGTGGGCTCACTAGCTGGATTGATAGATTGATACCATTTAAATTTGACATCAAACTTTTAGCAGGAACAAAGATGGGATTGATTGACTTTATGTCCAGAAACCCAGTAGGATTAGCGCTACCGCCCAGCAAGTGTGATGAGAAAATTGTTCTTGCGTCAATTAATTCCATGATTTTCATCATTGAATTGGTTGACAAAGTCATATTGAACAACTTGGCCAATCAGAAAAAAGCTCTACAAAGCTCAATTACCAAGTCAAGGACAATTCAAACATCACAAAAATAACAACAGCGGTCATTTAATCCAGAGCGAAAATAATCACTTATTCGATTGCACTGACAGAAATCAGCAGAAAGTTTGACAAAAAAAACAATGTCAATTATATTTCAACACAAAATACTGCGGAGACGAGGCAGTAACGAAATAAAAAAATTTAAAGGAGGATATATACCCAAAAAAGCGAGAAACAGAGGAGGGGAAAGCTCTTCGTCAAATGTGACCCCAAGAGGACGAAAACCGAAAGCAATTAGAAAGGAAAATCCGATCCGGAGGAAAATCTGTCAGACCCGCGATGGCACAGAACCCATTCAGCAACAGCAAGCCCGGTGTCTCCAGCAACCAAAAAAACCGCCCTCAACAATACACAGCGCCAAAGAGTTATTTACAAGTCGAAAGCCACAAAACTTTCCAAAACAAAGTCTTTTCGGAGGACACACCAAAAGGGGAGCGAAACTCCGCATCAATCCCGACCGGACAAGCAGTCCAAACAGCAGTAACACGAATACCCCCAATAATTTGACTAAAGCAATCACCAAAAAACACAAATGAAGTCAAAGAATATAGAGTCTACAACACAAAAAACAGCATTACAGTCGCACAACGATATGCAATCACAAACGGAATTCACAGTGGAAGACAATGAACAGTGTGAATACTGTGTCAGTCGAGTCGACCCTATTCAAGTGGGAACCGAAGTCACGTCCCCCAACGAGGCACCACCAACAATGTCGACAAATCAACTCGAGATCAGCCACGAACTAATCATGGCCAGCGTAGAGGAAAGCGCCGATAAAGCAACAACAACAAAAAATGAGGAAAATACACCCCTAAATAGAGAGAATTTACAACAAGCGATGGGGGTCAAACTCATTGTCGCAGCTACCCGAAAAGGCCGTTGTAAACTTTTTACAGAAAAGAGAACGCTACGACTTGCATATGGCGACTACTGGTACAACGTCAGAAACAGATTGCATGTCAAGTACGATTGCCTATTATTCGACAAAACAATCATCATCCCGCAGCAGTTTGGACAGATCATTCTGCACACTTTGCATTTGACCCTCCCGAGAGCGGCGGCAATGTTAGAATTAAGCGAAAACATCTAGTTCCAGCATTTTACCGAACAATTGTTCAAAAGGCCCAAAACTGCCGGCAATGCAGAGAGCAAGGTTAAAATTTAAGATAGTAATAGGAAAATCACAATCCTTCCAAATGAAACCGGTAGTAGAACCAACCAAGGAAGACCGTATGGATTTTGCGGAGCCCTTCCAGGACAAACTAGATAAAGATGCATGCATTTTAGTCGCGGTTGACAAATGGTCAAATTCCCTAAAGCTGAAGTGTTTTCAAAAACAACCGCCGATATAGCAATAAAATTTATGCAACGTTACATATCTAACGATGGGGTACCACGCAAACTTAAACGCGATCAAGCTCAAGCATTCCGATACCAAACTTCCCGGTGGATGATCACACATCAATAGGAGTTTTGGAACTGTTAATTGAAACGCTAAATGGGAAATTAGGGTTTTTGCGGGTAGACGGAAAAACACTCCATAAAAGCATATTAGCATCGAATGTCGCGGATGTCACAAGAACACAAAGATTACCAACACACAAAACAACAAAAACTTCCCCGTTTGAAGCCCATATGTGCCGAAAGCACAAAACACCATTATCAAACATAGTCACCACAAGCCCACCAACAAGCTCACCAACAATTTGATTTGGGAAAACGCAAAAAAGCTTGTTTCAATCGTAATAACCTGATGTGTCCGCTTCTTCAACCGGAATTTATACACGATCTTCAATGCTGGTCAGAAAGCGAAGTCGAAATCACAAAACGACCTTGGAAAAATCTACCAGAACCCCCAAACTCGTCCCCGGAGAAAGAGGAATTCACATCGTCGAAAACAGTCAGGCTCGCTATAAACAGTCAGGCTTGCCATAAAAACTAAAGATCTCAAAATATTTGAACAACAATCCAAAACAACCGATGGTGAAATTCGAACATACGCACAACACACAGCCTGGGTACAAACTAAGGGTAAACAGCCTCGGCTATTAAGAAATATCGGTTTCAATTTTGTACCGTTTCCAAAAATGTACGGCCCATGCAGACCTTCTAGACTAAATGATTATGTAGCGTACAAATTGGCTAGGAGAACAGGACCAAGCTTACGTTTTTCAGACATCGAAAACCCAAACGACCCACATGATGAAATGTTCCGGGAGGACATCAAGACAGGACTGCCCAAGAAATTGACTCGGAAAAAAACAACAGCAAAGAAAAAAGGACGAAGAAGAAAAGAAGGAGGCCATGGCGAAAAAACGAAAAGCGAAGACACAAACAGGAAAAAAAACAGTGAGAAAACCAAAGTCGGACCAGCTAGGCGAATGTCGTTAAAATGGGATCAACAAGGAATTGTCATAGAGGCTTCATCAAGTGACAGATGGTCATCCACAGCATCAGAGAACACATCACCATCTCCCAAACGACAGGATATGAAATTAACGCCGCCACCATAACCTTCAGAAATTGCAGAACTGCCCAGGAAATCCGCTGGAAATAGACGGGCTACACTGGCATCGGCATTGGGAAACCCAATTCCAATCAACACTATCGAATCGCCCAAAGCTTTCTGCATTACGTCCTCAGAACAGAAAAACAAATAAGCCAACAACACAGTCATACGAGTTTCATTAAAAATATTGGGTTTAAACAAGACTCGCCGGAAATTATTGCATGCATTAAATTCCTGGAAACCATCAAACCACAAAAGCAAGAAAGCGAAACGGTAAAAATCATTGATCTGACCTCCCGGTGAAGAGTCCTAAGAAACAGACGGGAGACCAAGAAAACGAGGAAATAAACAGGACGGAGGAGCACGAAAAAATCTTTGAAGAGGATAACGAACAAGTAGCGACGGCAACAAAGATTACCACGACGGAAAAAACCGCCACAAAAGTAACAGTTATAAAAAAAACGAAAGAAAAGAAACAGAACAAACGATCAAACAGACAGCCCTGCGGGAACTATAAAACTCCGGTCCTACCGGGACACTAAAACTCAAGCAACTTGCTACCATGGGGACGATAAACTCAGTTATGTGACTCAAGGTGGAATGTCATACGGCCGCATTGGCATAAACCACTATGAAGTTTTTGTATTCATTTATACTGTAAATCTTTTAACAGTTATATTATTATAATTATGATTGTTGGCCTTGACCGTCAATAGTCAAGACCTAAAAGTTAAACGTCTATGCTCAGAAGAAATGAATTCAAGTTTACGTTCAGTTCTTTCGCTCAACTAAACTTTCCTACAGATATTTTGCCAACCCGTTCGGATTGTAAAACAAACTCATACGTTACGTATGACAAACAGATTGCATTCGTGCCCCATGCACGAATGCAATCTGTTTGTCATACGTAACGTATGAGTTTGTTTTACAATCCGAACGGGTTGGCAAAATATCTGTAGGAAAGTTTAGTTGAGCGAAAGAACTGAACGTAAACTTGAATTCATTTCTTCTTTTTTTCAGCAAATTTGAGCAAAAAAAATAACATAACTAGTTGCCATCCTATGGCTTGTTGCAGAAAGTTACTGAATGAATTGGGTTAGACACCGTATAGCTTTGCATTTTTCCAAATAGAACAAAATTTGTGCTGAGTTTTTGTTGCGATGAACGTAATTTTTCATGTTTTTTTGCTTAACTTATTGAAAAGTTCCCGAGTCGAATTTTTTCACCTAATTTGAAGCAACATTTGAGCGGTTTGAGCGGTTTTTTCAGACAATTGCACTCAAGCTCTTGCTTCAAAATGAGCGGTTTGAGCGGTTTTTGAACGGTTTGTCTAAAAAAAACGCTCAAAAACCGCGCAAAACTTGAACAGTTTTGAGCGGTTTTTTTTAGATAAACCGCTCAAAACCGTTCCCGTTCAAATATTGCGCGGTTTTTGAGCGGTTTTTCTAGACAAACCATTCAAAAACCGCTCAAACCGCTCAATTTGAAGCAAAATTTTGACCTTAATTGTCTAAAAAAACCGCTCAAACCGCTCAAATCTTGCTTCAAATTAGGTGGAAAATCTCGACTTGGGTCATTGTTTAGTTTCACATTGAAACACTGACTGCACCGTCTCTCACATTTTAGTCAAGATTAGTTCCATTGAAGTTATACTTATTTGAATACTTAAGATTTATCTTACTCCTATTAAGGGTCAGATTGGCATCGAATGTTTGCAAAAAGCGTATAGTCATCAGTGAAAATGGTATGAATTAAGCTCACCTATCTTCTATAATCTGTGCTCTTATCTTACTTAGTAAACAATTTCTGTATAGCTAGTATTGGTACTATTGGATGACATGGCAATAGCAGGAGAGCCAAGTTATATCGCGGGTTCGATTTTGAAAGCTTTTATTCTGCAATTGACCGCCAAGTTTATTTGAGTTCATTCAATTAAATACCAGTTTAGATTATGAAAGCTGCCTAAACTTCTACTGTATCAGTCAAGTTTTATTGCGCCTACTAACAAATTTTGGTTAAAACCAGGATATTGGCGCTTCTTTTAGTTATCTTCACTCATTTCTTTTCTTATCAAGTATCTTAATTGATAACATACATCCAATTAAACTATCGTTTATTTTAGTCTACAGCATAACGCACAAGCAATTCGAGAAAGAAGGGCACTATTGTGGGCAAAAAAAAATTCAACTATTGGTTGTGAATGATGGACGCGCTGAAGTCGACTCATAAACGTCTTCGTGGCACTTCGATTGTGGCTCTCTATTTTGTGCAGGAGGGTCTGCTGTACAAGGGCTTCCACTCTCTCCTCTACCCTTGGTTCGGACAGTACCTCAACCTAGAGGGACACCAGTACCAGAGGTGAGAGAGAGAGAACAGGGTCACTTTAGCTGTGATTTTATGATCAGACGTTCGCGGCCAATTTTTGAAGTTTTCAGACTGTCGCGACACAGTTTAGATGTTTTTAGCGACCAAATTTAGCTATTTCTAGACTTTGCTGAACGAGGAGACGCTATTGCAACTGGTGCGACCCAGAGAACATTTTCCGCACGGCGAAATCGAGCAAAAGTTATCCGTGGTCGGCACGACCAAACAAAAAACGTCGCGGCACATGAAAAAGTACTTTTGAAACTATCCAAATTGAAAGCTTACTCTCTATGCCAAGGGGAAAAATTCTTGCAAAAAAAAGCCTTGGAAATTCAATTCTCCAGAATTTTTTTAAATCTTTTTTTTAATGATTTTGTTCTCAGTCTTATGTTTCACAAAAAGAAGGACAAGAACTATGGCATGTGTTACTTAGGACTATTCCATTTCTTGGATTATCGCGACCAATTTTCATATTTTTGCGACTAACCATTACGAGGGCAAGCTGTGCATTCTGTGCATTGTAAGCGAACTCCGAAACAGGTCAAAATCAGATTTGTGGCGGAATCCGCAACTTTGCTACTTTTGTTTGATTTTTTTTTGCTGTTTTGGATTCCACAAACAAATATCTAAAACACTGTAACCATTAGGCGATTTTGCGGAATCTGCAACCGTTTCAGAGGAACACAGGACAGTTTGTGGAATCCAAAAACAATTAAAAAGATAATCGTATCATTAAATTGAGCTGTTGCGGTTCCGCAACTGTAAGCGGAACCCGCAATTTGTAAGTGGAATCTACGTTTTGTTTGCGGATTCGGCTTACATTTATGTATATGTGTAGTATAGCATTTAAAATTGTGTCTTTTATTTACTGGTTACCAGAAAAATCAATCTCAACTACCTTATTGATCAACTATCAGGTGAAATACCAAACGTTTGGTCTCGGTTCCTGTCGTCCCAATTTCGACTTCAAATCCTGTCATTTTCGATCTCAACTTGGATCTCAATTTAATAGAATCGGAATACAGTAGGTAATCAAAATTTGACATTTCATGGAATTCCAAATGCTGACCTGTATTTGGGATTGATGCAATCCTAAATACCGGTCCAATTCGGCGATATGCTGTGCGTTGTCTTTCCAAGCGTTCTCAAGCCAATGAATATAAATATTAAATTTATTCGGCGATAAGATTCGAAAATCAGTATTTGGGATTGACGCAATCCCAAATACTGACCTAAATTGGCGATATGCTGTGTGTTGTGTTCCATACCTTCTGAACCCAATGACTAAAAACATTGAGTTTTTTTCGGCGTTATGCTTCCAAATTCATTATTTGGGATTGACGCAATCCCAAAAACTGGCCTAAATTGGCGATATGATGTGTAGTATTTCCAGACACTATCAACCCAAAGACTCCTAATATTGAACTGATTCGGTGTTTCCAAAATACTAATATGTGACATCCACCGATTTAATTAACAAATGTTTTGAGATTTGTTCGTGGGTTCCGCTGACAAGGATTAAATCCCTGCCTTTTATTCCCCCTTGCTTCCAGCTCTAGCTTTTAATTGTCCTTATGCAAGTTCAGTAATAAACAAAATTCTGAGTCCAGTTACATTTTGCGGAATCCGGGTACTTTTGCGGATTCCACTTACATTTGCGGATTCCACTTTTAGTTGCGGAATCCAGAATAACTAGCTAGATTCGCCTGTTTCGGAAACCACGGCACAATAAAGGTGCCGACAAAAGTTACGTTATAGATATTTGAACTAGGAATCCATGGAAGTTTTGTAAGTGGAATTCACTTGCAATTTGGAACATGTTTAAAGGCTTGTCTATGGAATCCAGGAACATACAGACTCAAAAATTTGCGCCTATGCAGTGCACAGTTTGGATTCATAATGACTTTTAGACAATCGCGACTTACTTTCAGACTATGTCGCGACTATTTTTCAGACTATCGCATCTTGTTTTTTGTTCACGTGGTGGCTAATGTTAAGAAACTATTTCGGGATTAGTTTTTAGACTATACAGCGACTTTTTTTTACCATGTTGCGACCAACTTTCAGACTATCGCAGCTAGTTTTTTGATCAAGTGGTGACTAACTTTAGGCAACTATTTCGGGACTAATTTTTGGACTAAACCGCGTCTACTTTTTGACCATGTCGCGACTAATTTTCAGACTGTAGCGACTAAACTTTTAGATTATGTCGCGACTAAATATCAGACTATCGCGAATATTATCCAGACTAGTGACTCAAATAGCGCATTCCACACTTTTTCGCGAATATAAAACTCTGTCCAGGCTAACAATATTTGTTTGCGGTGTGGGACCTGCAAAGTCAAAAAATTAGTAGCGGACCTCGGCCCAGAAAAGCATATTTGCATTGGGCTGAAATAAGTGGTGCAAATCCCAATTCAAAATTAAATGAAATTGTTCTGTTGTGAGTTTCCTAAAATTTCAAGTGACTTTATCTGATCGTTTTACTACCTTTTATACTTTTATGGACTTTTAGGCATGCATATTTATGTTCAATTTGAAAAGTCTCATGACTGCGGAATAATAAGTTTATTTTCGAAAATTATCAATGACAAAATGACAATCCAGAAAACAGAAAAATTGACTCAAATATTGTCAACTGAAATCCGGAAAAAAATTTGAAATCAAAGTTATAAAAGCTGAACTAAATTGACGTGCTTCGAAAAAAAAACATAGCAGAACTTGCTACTAGCTTTGAATTTCCCGGTATTTTTTAATAAAAAAGATAAGCTTAGGTGTGAAAAAAGGATAATTTATGCAGTCTAACATAAGTGAATGACATAATTACAACTAGAAGGTTTGTCAAATGTCTTTGTTGCCGCGCCAAAAAATGATGAATTGTTGAGTTTCAGCCTACGCTCTATCTTCTCACTGGCATGGAGTCTCAAAATCTTCTTCAGTTTCTTCAGCGATGCCATTCCCATCCTCGGGTACCGCAGGATCCCTTACATCACCATAGGATTATCTGCCATCCTCCTCTCCCTCGCCACCATATCGTTCAAACCGATGCCGGAACCCTTCTACCAGACTGAGAACTGCACTCGACTGACAGACGTTCCAACCCCCAACAACCCCCAAGCACCCAACCAGGCATTCCTATATGTTGTCCTCTTTTTCCTATGGTACTGCGGACTCTCATGTGCCGACGCTTCTATTGACGGTCTCATGACTCAGAGGTCCAAACTCGAGGAAGAAGGCGTGAGGGGAACCCTCATCTCGTACACTCGTATATCGAGTCAAATCGGATCCATAGTGATCCTACTAGTGGTCGGTTTTTTTCTCAACACCGTAAAATACGGAGGCAGCTTCTGTGATTTTGGAGTGGAGTTCAACCAAATCGTTTGGCTGCCTTTTATAGTAACAGTCATGGGAGTTATTTATGCGTGGGTTTATACTAACGAGAAGGATGTGGATCCACAAAGAGAGACGGTTCAGCTCGGGGCGAAACTGAAGCAGCTCTGGCTCTTGTTCCACAGATGGAACTATCTAAAGTTGCTTATGTTTTCCCTCATAATTGCTATTCAATGGTCGATGAGGGTAAATATGTCTTTTAACTTAGTTTCTTATTCCGATGATTGAAATTGGGGAGGAATTTTGTATTCGGGTCTTCGGGTCTGTTATAGTTTTTTTTCTGTTTTCCACGCAAAATCAGGTAACAAAAATAATCATTGGTTTCGTTTGAGTGTTATATCATATTAAAGCGCTTGCTGTGGTGACTCGAACAACATTCAAAAAAATTTAAAAAAAACTTTCCAGATGTTGAAAAAACCAGGTTTGAAAATTTGGATTTTTCGTCCTATTTCGAGCAAAAGAAGCGAGCAGGCATTATTGTTTTATTGGTTTAAAAGCTTACAATATCTTAATTTAAAACGTAAGTTTTAAATATTTTAGCAAATTTTTTTAAAATCCAAAAACTCGCAAATTGAAAAACAATTCGAAATATTTTTGTTTTTCGAGTATTTATTTATTAAAGTTGTTTTCCAGTTTGCTTGTTTACTATGACTGTCGATTATACCTTATCTAACGTTCACGGTCAGACATAACCAGGCTATTAAGTAATTAGATTAAATGGGCAAATAACAACACTTCTCTTGGTACAATTTTGAATAATTGACTAATTGTAAGTGAATACACTTAACTTTTCCTCTGATGATCGGGAAACGAAATTTTTAAAATCAAAACAACCAATTAAGTAATATAAGCGCAGAAAATTTGGTATAGGTTTGTATTGCGAAATTCGAAATTGCAAAACTTGGAAAAAAATATCCCGCACTGACAGAAATGGTTTCCAGTCGATTTAAATTGATTTTAAATCGATTTTAAAACAATTTAAATCGATTAACCATGTACTTTTGCGAACTCAAATGGATTTTAGATCGATTTAAATCGATTTTTTTGAAAATTTTATATCGATTTAAGTGTACAAAAATCGATTTAAATCGATTTCGATGGATTTTCCTACTCACTAAAATCCATCGGAATCTCACTTAAATCCATCAGAATCTCACTCAAATCCATTTTAAATCGAATTAAATCGATCTTTCTGAAAATTTTAAATCTATATAAGTGTCTAAAAAATCGATTTAAATCGATTTCGATGGACTTTTCGACACACTTAAATCGATTTTTTTTTGCTAATAAGGCAAAAAAACATGCAATTTAGAAAACTAACTGAAAAACTTTATTCTTGATTTTTTAATTAAAAAAACGCGTGCCAGATACTTCAGGTTTCAAGATATAAATAAAAAAAGTTGATATAAATCGGATTTTGTGCCTTATCATATGTAACAAATCAAGAAAATTGTCAAAATAAACTAGATTTTGAGCTCAAAAGTATGCAATAAAATCATAGAAAATCATCACTGTAAATCAGATTTTGGACAAAAACATATTTGACAAATAAAGAAAAATGTCAATATAAATCAGATTTTGAGTTCAAAAAATGTTCCATTCTTAAGATTGTTTGCTTTTTTTTCTTTTGAATGTGACGTTCATTTGTTGCATTGACATTCATTTGTTGCCTAAGACAGCACAGGCAGAGAAGCAGCCGAGCACAAGCGACAAAGCCAACTGCGCCAGAGCCCTAAACAGCATTGAAAAGTTTAATACAAATCTTACTAAATCACACAACACAACACAAGGCAAACAGTATCCGAGCAAATGCACAGTCTGCCAACCCCTCAGCTAAACTGAAAGCCTCAAGAGCGCGGCGAACGAGCAACCTTAACTTTAGACACCAGACTAAGCAAAAAGCCACTTGGGCTGAGCAGGCAACGCAAAAAAAGAACCTAAGCTAGCACTAGGGGAGGGTAGAACACACATACCTGAGGTTGAAGAAACGGTCCAGGAGAAATGAGACAGAGGAGAAATAAGCAATGCAGTGGGACGAGCCACAATTTTTCAAAAAAACCATTTTTTTAACTAAAAAATTAATCACCTAAAAACTAAAAAGATTTAACCAATGGCCATTATATCAATATCAACCTACGATATTGGACTACAGAAAGCAACAAACATTTTTGAGTAGTTCTTCGAGACACAAGAGAAGTAAGCAAAGCAGTGGGACGAGCCACGATTTTTCAAAAAAAAACAATTTTTCACTAAAAAATTAATTACCTAAAAACTAGGAAGATTTAACCCGAGATTCTCTCCGTGGCGTAGCGAGAGTCTCTGTATCCTCCGGGGGGGGGGGGGTGGGGGGGTAGGCATTTCACAAGCATTTTAGTCAATTTTACAATCATTAGTTTTACAAGGGTTAGTTTTGCAAGCGTTTTAGTCAATTCTGGTATTTGTAACGACTCGAAACAAACATTTTCATTCTTTTTTCTGTCATTCGAAAATTTGAAGAAAAAAAAAGTGGAAAAACAATCGATTTAAATCGATTTAAAAGCGATTTGGATCGATTTCGTTTTAGGTCAGATTTAAGATCCATTCAAATCGATTGAAAATCGACTCGAATCGATTTTTTTAGCGTTGAAATTAAATCGATTTAAATCGATTTAAAATCGATCCAAATCGATCTGATTTTTTTGTTTTGATTAACTTACTTTTTTTACAACTTAAATCGATTTCAATCTAATCTGCATACTTTTTTCATACTAAAATCGATCGAAATCCATTTTTGTCAGTGCGGGATCCCATGGATTGGTTAAGTCGGGTCATGAAAAATGGCTACGATGAGGTACTTGTCCATTGTTTTAGTTTGAGTCATCAGAGAACTACTGTGAGTAGATTTGAAAGAAAGGCGAGGCAATTTTTTTTAACGTTCTGAGTGATCCAAACGATTTAGATATAAGTAAAGAAAAAAAAACAACGTTAATCTGGCTGAGTAACCGAAACCGATTTTCTAAATTGATAATAAAAGGGATCACTAATGAAAGGAATTGATAATAAAAGGAGTTTTAAAGTTTTGAGCGAGTTTTCGCGAGAGTTTTCGATGTGGTCGCCTCTTTCCTTTTCCTTGCTGATTTCATCAACTGGCTTTCTTAGATAGATTCGATATCTATTTTGCTTCCACCTTCCTGTCTGGGCTCCAACGGAATTAGAGGCTCCTCCAACTCTGCGACCGAGCAGCGTAACGCAGAACTGGTCGGATCTTATTTAGGATTCTCTTGGGTCCTCGGATGTGAGTCTGCAGTCTCTGATACCTTTTGGTGGGAGCTACCGTTTGAAGAATCAGAAAAAGTTATCTTTGTTTCGGCCGCTAGGATTTGTTGAGGCAGGGAATGAGGAGTAGGTCTTGGTTTGACTTGAGTCTACTGGCAGTCAATTTGTGTAGGATCTTTGAGGACTCGAAGTGTCTACGAAATTTACAAAGATCCGATCGCTGAAAAATTTAGGAGGACCGGCATTCCTACGAAGACGGGCAAAAAAAACACCTGTTTTATTGCATTTCAGATCATGTACTGGAAAATCCGCCGAAATGTCTCTGGTCAGATTAATCCTAGACGGCAAACTGATGTCTTGAGTTGATTTCGTCGGATATGTCTCCGATATGGGTCCTTTCCTGAAATCCCAATCCTGAACCGTAGTAGTAAGCAACTCATAGGCTTGAGTGGAGGCTGGCACGATTGAATTTGGGCAATCAGAGATTGAAGGCTGCTGTCCGTGCAAGTCATTGCGACCTAATAGTTCTAACTTAAAATTAGAGTCAGAAATTCTATCGCTGTTGGTACTTTCCTCACTTCGTTTTTTTTCGCAATTCCATATCTGAGATAAAGCGTTCTCTACCAACATCCTTACATGGTACAACGCCGGTTGTCCACTCCAATCATTCAAATCCGAAGGATAAAAGGGTAGGAAGAAAAATACAACTTCCGCTAAGTAACCTTTTGTCGAAATTTGTTTGGTTCTCTTGGGTTGAAACTGGAATTTGTGTCTGACTGTTCCTTTTTTCTTGGATTGGGACGCTCTTCTCTTGTACATGGTGTAGTTTGTCTATGGGTGTAGTTCTCCTCCGTTAGAGAGGTTGAAGAAGTTTGCTAAGAAGTATTTGTTAAGACAAGGTAGAGTGATGGGTCGGACAGAATCAGTTAGCCCTGATCTAAACATTCTTTTGGGTTGTTATCATTAAGCGTTTTTCAAGGAGTGTTTGTTTTCTGATCTAGTGTTCTTCGATAAAGCGTAGTTCAAAAAATTATGAAATGCGTCGTGCAACGAAAATCTTGTAGATTCAGAGGAATTTGGAGCAATTTTATTTTGTATGAGCCATTTTTTCGACCAATCCAATGGATCGATGGTTGCCGATTGTACAAAAAAAAATGTTAAATTTATTTAAATTGCTTAATTCTTTGAGCTCATGACAATTAAAGCAGTAAGCGTAATCCATTATTTTGATTTTTAGAAAGACGTGTAGATAAATGTATTCTTAAAAGACTTGGACAACTCGCTTTGTCGAAGATAATAAAATTGTTTTCTGTGTTGGAAAGTTAGGAAAAACTGTCAATGTAGAATAATTTGTGTTTTCAGCTAATATCTAACAAACCGACAAAATCCAAATCAATTTCTTTGCTGTCTTCCGTTTATTTAGGTAGCTAATAAGTACAGGAAGAAGGAATTAAGTGTTTAATGCAGTTCGTGCAATTTTTTCTGGATTACCAAATCAATCAGTTGATGTGGCGCATCAATCACGTATTTAACAAGAAACATCAATTCAAAATTTTGAGGGCACAATTTCTGTAGCACTACGAGTTGATTATTCGTGTCGAAAAAACCACTAGAAGTGTGAAATATGCGGTAAAAACATTAGAAGTTTTTGCCAAATAAGAAATTAATTATCCGAAAAGTAAATTTAGAAAGATCAGTGTCAGAAATTTTCAAGGAAAACGATTCGTGGAACAAGATTCATAGCGAGCATGATTGAGTCGCAAATTTTCAATGCGGACCTAATAATTGTATGAATTGCTCCAAAGATAACATTGCGTAATATTGCGTCATTGGAAAGCTCCGAATTGTGGCCAATCACATTGTCACTATTTACAATGTAAATATTTAGATCCGAAACCTTTGGAAAATGTGTTTCCAAACTTTCCACTGTT